TGCACATCCTTTGCAATTCGTCCTTCTTCTTAACAAACAGAAATGACGCTCCCCATGGAGAAATACTTGGTTGAATGAACCCCTTGTACATCAGCTCTTGTAGCTGATTAGAAAACTCATGCATCTCTGGGGGTGCAAGATGATAAGGTGCATTGACCACAGGTGCCGCAGCTGGAACTAAGACGATCATAAATTCTACTGGACGCTCTGATGACACACCGGGTAAGTCTTCAGGAGAGACTTCTGGGAAATCGCAAACTATAGGTACTTCAGAAATAGCTTCCTTTTTCTCCTCCCGAGTGTCGATCACATAGGCCAAGTACCCTTCACAAGCATGTTGTAGGTATCTCTTGGACCTTGCGATGGAATACAATGTGGAATTGCTCCTTAATCCCTCGCCTTGGATGGTTAGTTCTCCCCCATTTGGGGTCCGAACCCTTACCGTTTTTTACCTACAGTCGATCAGGGCTTCGAACTATTCCAGCCAGTCCATTCCTACTATTATGCGCATCTCTCACATAGTGATGGGGATAATATTTATTGGGAAACTAACGTTGCCGATGTCTAAAGTACAACTACGTTATACTTTTGATGTGCTAATCGCTCGATCGTCAGCTATTTCTAATTTTAACGGATTATCTAAATTTCATATGGTAATGCTAAAGCCTTTACTAAAATTAAGTGACACGAAGGAATGACTTGCTCCTGAATCAAATAATACTAAGTCAGGCATATAGTTTACTAAAAACGTACCGACTACTACATCAGGTTCCTCCTTAGCTTCTTCTACCATGATCTACAAGGCTCGCCCCTTAGTCTTGGGGGATTCATCCCTCCCTTGACGTCCACCAATGATCTTCAGCGTTGTAGGTGCTGGAGCCTGCATTGCTCGTGTCTGCTTCAGGAGAGGACATTCAACCTTGAAGTGTCTGAGCTGGTTACATTTGAAACGGATAGGAATGTTCTATTTGCAGTCCCTGGCATAGTGCCCCTCCTTGCCACACTTGTGGCATCCTAGTCCTGCTCTACAAGGACTATCATGAAACTTCCCACATTTTCTTAAAGTGCGTACCCTCAAACTAGTAGATTTGTTCTACTTGGCTGCCGGTTGTGATGGAGTCGGAGTTTGACTTTTCTCTCTCGACTGAGTTTCTAACTCAATCTCTCTCCTCCTAGAATGATCTTGCATTTTTGCTAAGGTCTCGTAGTGATTGCTTGCTACAAATTCTCTAATATCAGCCCTGAGCATACTCAGGTACCTAGACATCTTTACTTGCTCCGAGGATTCATACTTGGGGTAGAACAAAGTGGTCCTTGTGGACTAGAGATGCAGAAGAAGAAATCATTCCTACCTGCATGTAAGCCATGAGTATTGGCCCTTCATATGTTTAATAATTATAAAATATTTAAGAAAAAAGAAAGAGAACGAAAAATAAGTATATTAACGGTATAATACTCTTTTCAATTTTTCCGAGGAACCAAAACGCAACGAAACTAGCTTAAAAGGACTACGGAAAAAAAAAGTTGAGGTATTGACTAAACCCCAAAATAAATGCATACCACATGGACCATTTTTGTATTTTTGTCTATTTTTAGTTAAAAAAAAAAGAAATATGAGGCGAATGAACTATAGAAACACTTTTTAACAAATTACTGAAATTGTCCTTGTGGTTTGTCAAAGTTATTAAAAAATTGTTAAAAATCCCATGAAAATCACTCCAATTTCCATGAAGGATGTCCCTTAAGAATCGAAAGATTTCCCTTTTGGTGAATTTGAACTTAGTGATGATGTTGAATTCTGTTTATAGATGGTAGAACTCAATAAACTGGTTGAAGAAGGGAAGATCAAATACATTGGTCTATCAGAGGCTAGACTTGCAACCATCAGAAGAACACACGTTATTCACCCAATAATAGTTGTAAATTGGAGTGGTCCTTGTGGACTAGTGATGCAGAAGAAGAAGAATAAGAAGAAAAAGTCATTCCTCCATGTAGGTAAGCCATGAGTATGGGCGTTTGTATATTTAATAATTGAAAAATATTTAAGAAAAAGAAAGAAAAATGAAAAATAAATATACTAATGGTATAATAGTCTTTTTGCAATTTTTCCGAGGAAGCAGAAACGGAACGATATTATCTCAAAAGGACCATGAAACCAAAAAAGTCGAGGTTTGAACTAAACCACACAAACAATGCATACCAAAGGGATCATTTTTGTAGTTTTTCTATTTTTAGTTAAAAAAAGAAGGAATAGGAGGCGAATGAACTATAAAAACACTTTTTTTGAACGAATTACTGAAATCGTCCCTATTGTTTGTAAAATCTATTAAAAAATTATTAAAAATCCCATGAAAATTGCTCCAATTTCCATGAAAGATGTCCCTTAAGAATTAAAAGATTTCCCTTTTGGTGAATTTATACTTAGTGATGATGTTTCTGCTTATAGATCGGAGAACTCAATAAATTGGTTGAAGAAGAAAATATAAAACACATTGATCTATCGAACCATGAGAAGAGCAAATATTATTCATCCAATAACATTTGTACAACTGGAGTGGTCCTTGTTGACTAGAGATGCAGAAGAAGTCATTCCTAACTGCAGGTAAGCCATAAGTACGAGCCCTTTGTATATTTAATAATTGTAAAATATTTATGAAAAAGAACGAACAATGAAAAATAAATAAACTAAGGGTATAGTAGTCTTTTCAGTTTTTCCGAGGAACCAAAAACGTAATGAAACTAGCTCAAAAGGACCATGCAACCAAAAAATTCGAGGTTTGGACTAAGCCCTAGAAAAAATGCATACCACAGGGACCATTTTTGTAGTTTTGTCTATTTTTAATTAAAAAACAGAATAGGAGCCGAATGAACTATAGAAATAGTTTTTTTTTTTTTTTTTTTTTTTTTTTTTTTTTTTTTTTTTTTTAAATTACTAAATTCGTCCCTGTGGTTTGCCAAAGTTGCATGTTTGCTCCATAACATTTATTTTGCACTTGGACCGTCCTCATAGTATGATTTTGTTACGTATTTGGTAGCTGCTAAACATTGAAAGACTATTTTACCATTTATATTTTAATCTTTAGTTTTTTAATTATCACTTATTAATTAAGCAAAATCAATTAGACATGTGGACTCACTCATACTCTCACTTGCACCACAACCACAATCGGTCACCAATAACCACCATTCACCTGTTCCTGCACCACAACCATGCACCATGACCATCACCTATTTCGGCACCACCACGGGCCACATCTCTGACAATTATCAACAACCACCATTTCCGGCCACTTGTAAGTGCCCCACCCTACCAGAAAAAAAAATGACGTGTAACATCAAATCCAGGAAAAACACAAAACGAGTCGAAGCCAAAATCTAGAAAAACATCAAAATGCTCAAATCCATAAACAAGAACACAAAATATAGAATCTGGTGAGGGTAAAATCCTCAAAACGAACCCAAAATAATTCCTATAATTCTCAAATCCAAACATGAAAAAACATAAAAAGAACCAGAAATCACTAAAAAGAACTTGAAATCTTTGAATTAATAGGCTGAAATCCCAAAAATAAACTTAAAATTAGTCCTGAATTTCCTAAATACGAACCAAAAAAAAAAAAACAAAAGACGAATCAAATTTCCCAAATCGAACATGAAATTGTTCTTGAACTTGAACTTCTAAGGTGAAATCCCTAAAACGAACCTGAAAAAGAACAAAAAAAACATAATCCGATGAGATTGTAGTCGTCGACCGTGGCCGAGAGAGGGTGTTCGTTGGATGTGAAGCAGCAGTTTGATGCTCACTAATGTGAGTTGAGAGAAGATAGTCGATGTAGGGTTTAAAGAAGGAAGCCGGAGTATGTAAGGGTTGGTTTCTTGCAACTGTGAAGATGGCGATGATGGTTGTATGGAGAAGACGATGGCTGCAATGATGGTGTTCTTATTGTGGTGTTTGTATGTGCTTTTTGATGGGATGTGGTGGAGATGACGAGACGTGGAAAAATGGTAGTGTGGAGAAAAAAATGGTAGAGGTGATAGAGTTTCATGGTTGTAATGATGGGTTTAGGGATGTTTGAGATTTCGACGATAATGGGTTGGCTTTCAGTTTCTGGAAAGAACGGCTTGCATCTACAAGCGACGACTTTAGGTGTTCTATGGGATGCTGTAGCAACTAACAAGGGATGATGGAACTTGTGGTGTAGGTTCGAATGAGACAGGCCCATGTGTTTTATAAATTATAGATAAATTTAAAATAAATAAAGTAATTGAAAATTTAATATAAATGGTATTATGGTCATTTCCTATTAAACAAGGACTTACAACATAACAAAATAAAAACTCGAGGACGGTCTGAGTGCAAAATAAATATTATGTACCAAACACATAACTTTGACAAGTGTATAGGGACGATTTCAGTAATTTGTTCTTTTTTTAGAATTACATTCCGGTCCAGTATGTTCCACCTTCATAATCTCAGTATGTTCCACCTTCATAATCTCATAAATGGTCCTCAAACTATATTGGATTTTTCACATTTGGTCTAAGATATATTGGTCACTTTTGAAAAATTAACTGCTCAAAATTTCAAATATAATGTTTGAAGGGTAAAAAATGCAACAAAATGAAAACATAAGAACCAACCACGTAAGAAATAAAACAATATAACTCGATGCCTCGCATACTATCCGATAGTTGTACTGAATCGGTCTGTTTTGGCAAACCACATGGACCACCTACGCAATTTTGTCTATTTTTTTTTATAGTTTTAAAAATATAAACTGAAAAATATTTAGAATAACACATTGTTTATATGTCTTATAATTTTAAAAATAATTAAACTTGATTATAAATTATAATCCTTATTTAATAATAAGTTGGCTGAAAAACTAAAAACTAATAATGAAATAATACAAATTTAATTTTAAATTAGTTGAGTTGTATAAATAAAACATAAATAACACAATAAAAGATTGAGTTTAATTGTTTGTAAAATTGTATCGGTTTTAATATGAATTGAATGGATATGAGAAAATAATGACATGTGGAGTAAAATCCACCTATCGAAACAACTTCTGATTTCACTCCCACTCATCTTTTAGATCGGATCAGCTTCCTCGTTCTCCTTCCAACCAGCGGTAATGAAATTAAACTAATGTATTATTATTCATAAGCAATCCTGAAATGGCATACAACTTTAACACCGATAGAAGCAAAGAAAGGTTGCTATCTCGCAAGACCTTGTTTGAAGAGTCTGATCATAATAAGGATGGTGATGATGATGCGTCCATCCTGGATAGAATCACGAAATCATGGGAAGATCTTCAGGAGTTCCTTGTCAAGGTTTACGAAATGGGTCGGTCTGACCCCAGACAGATCATCTTCGCTGCAAAGTCCGGCTTCGCACTTGCTTTTGTTTCCGTGCTCATTTTTTTTAAAGAACCCCTTGATTACATCAGCCAATATTGCATTTGGGCAATTCTAACTGTCATTGTCGTATTTGAATTTAGCATCGGTAAAAAAGTTTAAATATAAATTTATCACCTAGCTAGCTATATAGCTCGCATCAAGATCATCATCATCACATGTTTATATTATTTTGTGATTCTACGTAGGGGCGACCCTTAGCAAAGGATTTAATCGTACTTTGGGGACATTTTCAGCGGCAGTGCTTGCATTGGGGTTTGCTCAAGTATCTGTGTGGGCTGGGGAATGGCATGAAATTGTGGTCATCATCAGCATCTTCATAGCAGGTCAGCTTCACCAATTATATATATATATATATATATATATATATATATATATATATATATATATATATATTATATATATATTATATATATATATATATATATATATATATATATATATATATATATATAATGTTGTGTGTGTGTGTGCTAGATTTATATATAAATATATTTTTTGTTTTTGTGTTTATCTAGGTTCTGTGTCAACCTATATCAAACTCTATCCATCAATGAAGCCCTACGAATATGGTTTCAGGGTATTCATGTTGACATTTTCAATAGTACTGGTGTCGGGGACTTCCCACTTTTTTAGAACAGCCGTTTCTAGATTGTTATTGGTGATAGTCGGAGCAGGCATATGTTTTATAGTTAACATATGTATTTATCCAGTCTGGTCCGGAGAAGAGCTGCATAAATTGGTGGTGAAGAATTTTAGGGGTGTTGCTACTTCCTTGGAAGGTAACAAGTGCATGTATTAATTCATATACTAATATTATTAACAAGCAATATATTGCCGGTATGGATATTGAACTAGGTATCCTTTTATTTTTTTTATTTTTTTTATTTTTTTTATTTTTTTTTATGGAATACAACAGAATGTGTTAGAAGTTACCTGCAAAACGTGGAATATGATAGGATACCTTCGAAAATTCTCGTATACCAGGCGACTGATGACCCTCTTTATACCGGATATAGAGCAGCAGTACAATCTACAAGTCAAGAAGATGCTCTGGTATTACTTTTTTTTTCTTTCTAAATTATTAGCCTTTTCGATTGGTAATGTATAATTTTATATATACATATATAGTTAGGCATCCAACAAGATTATATATATACATGCAGTTGGGCTTTGCAATTTGGGAACCGCCCCATGGGCGTTATAAAATGTTGAGATATCCATGGGGTCAATTTGTGAAAGTTGGCGGTGCATTAAGGCATTGTGCTTTTATGGTTATGGCAATGCATGGGTGTATACTTTCAGAAATACAGGTACGTACGTGTACATTTGATTTGATTTAAGACTTAAGCAGCAACATCATCGATGGGATTTATGAGATTATGTTTTGATTTCTTTCTAGGCAGCAGCTGAACTGAGGATGATGTTCAGAAACGAGATTCAGAGGGTGGGGAGTGAAGGTGCCAAAGTACTGAGGGAGCTGGGAAACAAGTTGGAGAAGCTGGAACCATTAAGCCCAGATTTTGACCTACTTGAGAAGGTGCACGAGGCCGCAGAGGAGTTGCAAATGTTGATAGATGAAAAATCATACCATCTTGTGAGTGTAGCTGCTAGACAAAGACACAAAGAATTGGAAGATCTTGATCAAGAGGAAACCGAGGAAGAGACCTCCACTGAAGCCCAACACGCCCCCCTTTTGAAACATTCTCATACCTTCAAAAATATCGACCGCCATATCACAAATATGTCCATGAATCTTCCTTCTTTTGCAAACTGGGGTTCCTGTGATGAAGAGGCACTCAAACAGCAGTTACAGTGGCCTTCACGCCTCTCTGTTCTTGGGGACACCGTTCTTAATGAACGTGAGGTTAGGACTTACGAGAGTGCAAGTGCTTTGTCTTTGGCCAATTTCACATCTTCCTTGATCGAGTTTGTTGCAAGGCTTCAGAATCTGCTCAACTCTTTTCAAGAGCTTAGCGATAAGGCAAGATTCTCAAATCCAAAAAACCCTCTTGATCAAAAGGAGGAAGGGGATGATGTGGGATTCTGGACACCATTTGGCAACTGTATGGGCTTCAACACTTGAATCAAACCACTCTTTTCTTTTTTGTAGTAATTATAGCTTCGTTTGAACTATTAGATTTAGGAATGGTCAATTTTGTATGCTCCGAAGCTTCTTCTGATAACTTTGACTTCAAAAAGTATAATCATATTTTACACATTTCTCCTAAAACAACCCGAAAAGGTTATTGAATATTGTGATGGATACAAGTTGAAGGTGCTTGTTGATCCAAATAGAGATCAATACAAGTTGAAGGAAAACAAAAAAAAAGATGCAAAATCTCTCTTATTTCTTCAATAAAATGGTTCATGACTACCTTTTCTCCGGTTAAGCCAAAACAGTAAAGGAGGCATGGCATACTCTCAATACTGAGTTTAAAGTCTCCAAAAAGTTAATTGTTGTGAAACATTAGATTATCTATCTAAGAAAACCTGAGCATGCAAAAGATTATCTATCTAGAGAAAGTGCAATTGTAACCAAGATAAAATCATATAGAGAGGGAATAACCGACAAAATGGTTGTTTCAAAAACATTTCAGAAGTCTTATTTTTTAATTTTATCCGGGAGTTACTATAGTTGATGAAGACCATGATAGGTCTAACTATACTTTTGATTAACTAATATGTTCCTTGCAAGCTCATGAGGAACAGTTGAATAGATCTCAATAACAAGACAACGAAAAAGCTTTCCAAATTCAAGGTAAAAGGAGAAAAGTTCTAGTGGTAGATGACACAAAAAAATTAGCTTCATAGGTAGAGGCAAAGGTTGTCGTCGTTCTTCCGAGTAATGACCCAGTAAAAAATTGCTCCATTTAATGCTTTTACAAAAATATGTCATATAGAAGAAAAATGACAAGAGAAATCAAGTGAATTTTGCAGAAAAGTATGAGTTATATTAAAAATAATTCTTCCATGAGGATGTTTGGTTTGTTGATAATGGGTGTTCAAATCACATGTCGAGTTTATATCAAATGTTTGAGGAAGTTGATTAGTGGCACAAATCTAATGTTCGACTAGGCGATGAAAGATAGATCAATGTTAATGGTAAAGGTGCGATTTATCTTTAGAATAGCAAAGGTAAAAATAATCTTTTACATGGCGTATTAAATGCGCCAAGTACACCCCAAAACTTAATAAAGTATGTGACGGCCTAAGTTTTCAACTAAATTTCTCATTTTAAAAATATGACTAAACAATCTCAAAATTAAAATGTGAGTCAATTATTTACTAAGAGTAAGACTAAAGAAACCATTATTTAGTCGTGATCATGAATAGACATTAGACATTAAACATTAGACAGACCTCTCTCAGGATTAAAACGTGGATTTCATGGGTTGCCAATGGAAGCATGATCAAGTCTGCATCCTAAACAACATTGTAGGGGTGAACATTTGGACCTATTGATCGGACCGGACCGTTTTTTAGACCCCGGGCTGGTTCTCGGTTCTAGGATTTCAGTAAAATTGGTCTGGTTTTTTTATTGGTCCGGTCCGGCCGGTTCCGGGTAAAAACCTGTTTTGGACAGGCTTATTTTTTTTAGAAAAAAATGTAATTTGTATATTTCTTTAAACAAACATATCTCATTCGTTTTAACTCGGATTAACATGCGTTTTTTTTCCAACGTATAATTTAGAGTTTATAGATAATTTTACACTATAATTTTGTTGTTTTTGGTATTATATTTGATGACTTACAATCCTTTAAAGATGATATATCAAAGCTGAAATATTTAAGCTTTTCAACAAGAAATTTATACTTTTGTATTCTGTGAAATTCTTTGAACAAACAGATATCATTCGTTTTAAATCGGATTAACATGCGGTTATTTCTAACATGTAATTTAGAGTATGTAGATGATTTTAGACTATAATTTTATTGTTTTTGGTATTATATTCGAGGAATTACAATGCTTCAAAGATGGAATATCAAAGCTGAAATATTTCAGCTTTTTAGCAAGAAATTTAAAGTTTTGTATTATGTGAAATTCTTTAAACAAGCATATTTCATTCATTTTAACTTGGATTGACATGCGGTTTTTTCCAACGAATTTAGAGTTTGTAGATGGTTTTAGAATATAATTTTGTTGATTTTGGTGTTATATTCAATGAGTTACAATCCTTCAAAGATGAGATTTCAAAACTGAAATATTTCAGCTTTTCAACAAGAAATTTATACTTTTGTATTCTGTGAAAATTCTTTAAACTAACATATATCTCATTCATTTTAAGTCGGATTGACAAACGCTTTTTTTCAATTTATAATTTAGAGTTTCTAAATGATTTAAGACTATAATTTTTGTTGTTTTTGGTGTTATATTTAATGAGTTACAATCCTTCAAACAAATGGTATAAAGTATAAATATTCAAAGTTTCACCGGTCCAAAGGGCACAATAAACAAACACGTTGTGAGTTTAACCATCGGAGAAAATGTTTCTTCATAATCAATCCCTTCAACCTGTGTGTAGCCTTTAGCCACCAAATGCGCTTTATATCGCTCGATAGTTCCATCTGAGTTGTATTTAATTTTGTATACCCAGCGGCAACCAATAGGTTTGTGACGTGTAGGAAGTGGAACTAGAGACCAAGTGTTATTATCCTTTAATGCCTTCAATTCTCTAGCCATGGCTTCTTGCCAATGATGATGATAGACAGCTTCATCATAAGATTGAGATTCTGTTTGTGCTATAATGTTGGCTAAAAATGTACAATAAGCAGGTGAAAAACGCAAAAATGATAGATGATTAGAAAGAGGATACCTAGTCCCTTTACGAGTACTTGTGCTAGAGGTTGAATGATTGGCTTGAGAAGGCATGAAGTATGTAGTGTGCCATGCAGGGGTATTTTTGTTACGACTGGAACGTCGTAGAGGAGGTTGTTTAGGAACGGAATGGAATGGGTAGTGTTAGATCCATTTTGTTCAGTGTTGGCATTGGTTGTATCAAGACAACTTCCATTATAATCTATTGTATCATATGGATTTGCAGCATCTAATGGATTTATAGTAGGTGAGTTGGAAGGCCTATTTCTGAAAATAATAATAATAATAATAATAAATAAGGGGACGCACAACCCCCCTTGCCCTAAGCAAGCTCCGTCTATGCCTATAGTCTACATATCATCACAATTGCTCCTGATAAGGCCACCCAAAGATGGTATTCACGTCCTTCTCACTCATAACACACCTCCATCACACCACCACTCCGGTAATAATGAAATGTGGTCAATTTATCGACATCACTAATATTTAACTTGTACATTAATAAACTAAAATAAATATTCGTTAAAGTGGCGATGGCTTACACCCAACTTGATTTGTTTATTCACGTGGCAACGGTTAACGTGTGAGGCCCATCAGTCCAAGATGAGGGGTAGCATTCATTGAGTGATCAGAAGGAAAATAGAAAATAGTATTAGAGATAATAAAGTTTAAGAGGGGTTTTGATCAAACTTCTTTTTTTGGGCATTAATACATTTCATAATGCAGGTTTTATTTTTTTTTTTTTTTTTTTTTTATTTTTTATTTTTAATTTGTTTTTGAACCGACGAATCTAATCTACTCCTAAGCTAACAACACCTATTCCACTTATGTTCACAACGAGACTTGAACCCTCAACCTCAAAGAGAGAGGGTACCACCTGATACCGCTGGGTTACAAACCCTTTGGTTCATAATGTTAGACATACATCACAACCGTTAAAGAATTATTTTTATATAAAGTACATTTTATCATCCGTTTTCAGTTTTTATTTTAGATATTTATCTTGAATAACTTTTTATGTCAAATATATATAGCTTTAAACATAATTGAAAGATTATATTCCAAGTTGTGATACTTCATTTTGTTATCATCGTATATGATAATAACATTGATATTTTTTTTTAATCAACTAGGTAACAATCTATCAGGTACCTTTTATATGGAAGATCAATATTTAAATCTTGAGGGTTTCAACTAGAAGTTGACAAGGGAAATGATTTAAGACAAAAACATAAAGTCATAATGGACAACCCGAAACCCATTTTTGTAGTTAATGATTTTTTGAGCTTGTTGGTATACTGTTTTGATCGCTTATTTAACTTTGTCTTCATTCTTAATTATTATTAATAAAAGAAAATGCAACTTTTTTTTATCTTGGTTGTTCGAAGAAAATGAATGGTTATCACAAATCAATGTAATATAATCTGTGTGTTAAATTCGTTTCAAAAATATTTATAATGTTAATTTGTAAGCCACAAGTTTTAAATATATAACACTTTATGCATAATACATCAATGTTTATTATTTAGCATAGTAAAGTTCGAGTATGATCACAAACTACATTCTCTTTGTTCTAATTATTTGAAATTCTAGACAATATCTCAACGATCAAACAGTTTTAGTAAAATATATGCAATATCAAGTATTACATGGCTTTAAACAAACAAATAATAATAATAATAATAATAATAATAATAATAATAATAATAATAAATTGAACTAGTTTATTAAGATATATAAATATAACTTATAAATAATCATATTTTATGATATATTTAAACTAAGATATATAAATATAACTTATAAATAATCGTATTTTATGATATATTTCATAAGTTGTTATTTTTCCAATAAATATTATTTCTATATATAATAAATTCTCAATTAGTCACGAGGCGAATTACCCGACGCATGACCTAGAGTTAGGGGCAGTCGTTTTTACCCTCAAGATTTGGCGACACTACCTCTATGGGGTCCGTTGTACCATTTACACGGATCACAAGAGTTTGAGGTACTAGATGGACCAGCCAAATCTAAACATGAGATAGCGACGGTGGTTGGACATGGTGAATGATTACGATTGCGAGATCCTCTACCACCCGGGGAAGGCCAACGTTATGACCGATACACATAGCCGCACGACATTCGTGGCCCCACTCAGAGACATCTGCCTGAGGATGATAATAGTGACTCCGATTTTGGAGTGGATTCAGGAGGCCCAACAGGAGGCTATGAAGGAGGAATGTCGGAAGAGTGAGCGTATCATGGGCCATATTTCCTCCTTCGACTATGATAGTCACGGGCTGTTGACACTCCATCGCAGAGTGTTGATTCTGTACGCGAGCGGTGTGTGCCAAATCCCGATGGAGAAGGTGCACAAGTCCAAATTTTCCATCCACCCCCGGGTGACGAAGATGTA